TTGTGAGCAGATGAGTCTTATTTGTGTTTTGTAATGTATGTTTGTGACAAACATAAGTTATATCAAGCATTTACATGTACATATTTAGTATAGCATATATAGCCTGTGTGTTTACATTGCTTGCTGTTGATGATGTTTCTTTCTTACTTTGCTTTGAGCTGCAAATGATTTAATGATTCAGCAATAAGGTGTAATAATACTTTCATAGCATGGTGAATGTCTAAGGCTATTGTCTGATTTCGTTTGTGGTAACTAAATTAATTTCTAATAAATAATCATCATTGTAACATTATGTTTTGTTGTAGCTCTTTGATCAGTGGTCCTTTCACACTGGAGGAGGTGCCAGTTTCCAGCTGCACAGGTTTCATATTGTCATAGTCTTAGCAATTGAATACATAGTAAGATAGAATATTGTGAGATTCCATAGTTTTTTATTATTGTGTTATAGAATATGATCCAAGGCTATAATTCTTTTTGATGATTAATATTGATTATCTGATTAACTATGGCCACGGTATGTATTTTCTTTACTCGTTAATGCAATTAAGCAATCTATATCACATGTATTTGTATTGTAGGAAGGTTAAAGCTCAAGTATTGAATTGTTTTGCGTTGTTGAACAAACACTAATTTTAAGCATTGCTTTTATATTTTCTGTTTTGTCTTTACGCTTTAAGATATTTGGCTTCTCTTATAAGTTTTTAATTTTAGAAAAGTTAACTTTATAGATCTACATGTACATAATAAAAGTTATAGTTCTTCGTCGTGCTGCCGTTCCTCCTGCCCCTGCCTCTTGGCCTGCCTCTCAGATGATTGTTGTACTAAAGTAAAATAGAATAGAAAGGTGATTAATTGGTATCTATATAAACTGCAGATCATAACTAAAATAATCTTACAATATCTCTATTGATTTGGCGTAGCTGCCATATAATGAGCTGCCTCTGCCTTTGCAGAGCAGCAACGTCCAGAGGACCTCTAGCTCCAGCTGGATGGAGTGCTGGAGCAGCAGGGGGATGTGGCGGAGGACCTCCAGCCAGCAGTGGAGGACCGCCAGCCACTGGTGGTGGACCTCCAGCCAGCGGTGGAGGTCCTCCAGCCAGCAGTGGCAGACCTCCAGCCAGCGGTGGAGGACCTCCATCAACTGGTGGAGGACCACCAGCAACTGGTGGAAAACCACCAGCTACTGGTGGGGGACCACCAGCCACTGGTGGTGGACCTCCAGCCAGCGGTGGAGGACCTCCAGCTACTGGAGGTGGCCAAGGAATTGGTGGTGGTGGTGGTGGCGGGTCTCTGGGAGGTCGTGGTGGAGGCCCTTCAACTACTGGTGGTGGTGGAGGAGGACCTCCATGATGCTCATTATAGTGTATAAACTATAAGAAAACATAATGATAGATAATGTA